AATCAATCAGCGAAGGAAAGTAATCATATGGACATCTTTCATCTGGTAGCAGTGACTTTGGCTGAAAATAAACTTCAAGCATTGGAGTTTGTGCCAAGAGAAGCACCACCACGTAAGGACCAAAGGATATTGTCTCGTGGTTGGATTTTACGGTAGGAGTGGAGTAGCTCGGTCGGCATAGCAGTGATGTTTGATGGTGTTGCAGAAGCCCATACAGCTAAGATGGAAATTATATGATGGATGACAATTCGCGGAAGATGATTTGGGAGCCTGGAGCCCTTCGTGCGATGATCAAGCATACACAGGGCATCAAACAATGCACGAAGATGTGCGGGGTGGACACGATGCAGGGTGGAGCATGGTTGTAGTCGGTTAATTTCGGCTGGGTCGGACTAGATTGTCTGATGGACTGACCTGGATGTTGGTCAAAGCAGAAGACGGTGGTGATTTCAGCGACGACGACATAGGAGCGTGATGCTGATGGTGGCCGACTTTTGGGGCGTGGAAACACGTGGTGCAGGCCTGAGGGTTTGTGCGGCTTCGATGAGACATTGCGCAGGGTTGATTCGAGGCAGTGTACACTTGAGAGCTTGAAGTTGACAGGGCGCAGGGTAGCATGACGCAACTACATGGAGTCATGTTGAAGGTGGAGCTGGAGTCTGATGGATGACTTCACTCTGTGCTGATGGAGGGGCTACAATGTAAATGCATGGAGAGTCGAAGCCTATTTCAACGGGATAGCGAAAGACACGTGGATCGGACTGGGGCCCGGTAGTCTGATGGAGACGTGATACTCGGCATCGGTCGGTGATAATCGGTGGTTCTCTGCAGTAGGGGTTTGAGTGGTGTGGGTCCGCGGCCCTAGAGACTCGACCAGAACAGCAGAGGCTCGACGCGGCGATAGCGGCGAGGCGTGCGGTAAGCACGGGACACAGCGACAGGCTAAGGCACTGGTGGTCAGACATGTGGTCAGGCAAAGTGTGCAGGGGTGCTAAAGCAGTGTTGACGAGTACCAGATTCAAGTTGATGGCAGGGTCTATCAGTGCCGGTTGATGGACAGGAGTTGACCATGGAGAATCTGAGAAAGTGTCGGAAAGTCTAAAATTGTCAAAACAGAGAAAGTACATGCCCGTATATTCTGTGGCGCTCGATGCACATGGCAAAGTGTGGATGACAAGACAGAAGGAGGCGGAGTGCTATAGCTGTGGGACATGCCAGAGACTGTCCGGAAAAGGGGTGAGACAACTGTGAATTTGACTCAGGGTGACACAGGGCGATGATGAAATTCCTTCAAGTTTCAGACAGACGGTCAAGAAAGAGCGGTGATGTTGAGTTCAGGTAACTCTCATATGTGGCATCCAAAATGTGACTTGTTTATTTTTCACGCAGAGTGGTCTGTGTGTGATGGTGTTGAACGGATTCTCCGAAAGTTGGGAGCACAAAGTAGAGTATTGAGGAACTTAATTTTGCTACTGTGAAGAAAACGAGAAGGGACTACAGTTGCAGGTGGAGTCACATGGAGTCTGGGAGTAGCAGCGGTGCTCATGGCGTATCTCAAGTCCAATGTACATGGAGGTTCGACGAACAGACGAATTTAAGGTGGTGGAGAATATTCACCAAGGTGGAGTTTGTTAGAGTTGTGTCAAATATTATTGTACAAGTTAGGTTACAGTTGGACTTGGAGTCGTATGGTGTGTAGACAGGATATGGAGTCGTGTCCAAATAGAAAACTTGTATCCTAGGCCTCTCATATATAGCGGGGTAGACACACGTTGTAACTTATGCCAACATAATAGCACGGGCACGCGGGGGAGCCGGCGGCGTGTGCCAGCGCCCGGGCGGCCGGGGTGCGGTATTGTGACGGCGTCACGGGAAGGAGCGCCCGTAGTCAGGCCCCGGGGATGTAGTCATATCGGTGAACCTTGTTAAGAAATCTCGATTCGTGCTCGTGTGATTGCTTGGTCCTCGAATGATCGACGGTATACCTTGGATTTATTCTAACAGGGAACATCATTCAAATACTCATCACTTGAAATAGCTGACCAAACCTGCCGCGTGGTCCAAAAGGTTATGTTATTAAGGGGAAATTTCATATCACGTAGTATCTCGCCTTGAGCGAGTGTGCAGGTGCAGGTATGATCCTACCTCCGCATATGAAGCTGAAATTCTAGCATGCGTGGATAAAAGAACTCATGATCCATGACAAATACTCATGATAAAAAATGAGCACAGCAACGACGACCTGGTTGTGATCGATGACTTGGAATTCCAATGCCCAGACATCAAGGTTGTTTTTTGCGTTGATTCCTCCAGAGCGCCTTGCCGTATAGGAGAAGAAAAAAGATGCTATGCTGCAGCAAGTGAGTGAAAGCAATTAATGTGAAGGATGCACATCATCAATTCTTCTTCGTTTTTCAGTAGTGGTAACTTGTAGTCCTTTCAAATTACATTTTTTTAGGGGAAGTCCTTCCAAATTTTACTGATTCGTGCTACCTATGTGTCCTTTGTTTCAGGTCAGTAAAGAAAATTTGGGCCTCATGTGACCCGTCCCCGAGTCATAAATGAAGGTGTTCGTTTTCATTGGTCACATTGATTCAAGTTGGTTATCTTCCTTGCACCGTTTCGGTACAACTAGTTCTCCCCGACGCCATTACTCAGATCCAGCACCGGGTGGACATCCGGGTGGAAACTAGACACAATTATTTTCGGAAAGAATATATTTACATGTTTCCAGCAAGCTATGTTTTTTATTAAAAACATCATCAAGTCCATATAATTAAATGAAAAATAAGTTGTTTAGGTCAACCCTTTTAATCTCGTTGTGTCACAATAAATATTTTAATACCATGAGTGAAAAAAAGTTCAGATAGAAATATTTTATTTTCCCCTAAAACTTATATTTCATTGAAAAAAATGGTTAAGTTCTTACAAATTAATTACAAATACTCGTCTCTGCTAGGGAGAGTCGATGGACGATGTTCATGTGGCATGAGTGAAGTGTGGAGGTACTCATTGGTGGTGGTATGCTTGTGGAGGACTTGGAGGGCTATCCTGGGATGGAGAAGGGTATGTGTGCTCTAGTGGTGGTATTCATCAGGCGCGGTCGACAATGGTGTTGGTGATCCAGCACTATGATCTTCAATGGTGGCCTGGCCTAGCTAGGTCATCGGAGAAGAGGGAGTCGGAGCATGATGTTGGACGATGGCAAGCTCGACATCGGACTTGGACGTGTTGTGCAACGACATGTGTGGTTTTTTTCCAGGTTTTCTTAGGGGGTCTCTGAGTTTGGTTTGGGGCAATGAGGTGGCGGCCTGTTCCAGTATAGGAATAATGTTCTCCTCGCCCTTTACCCGTTTCATTGGTGTGCTTATCCGCGATAGAGGACATGTGAATCAATGTTTGCAATGGATCTTTCGGGATCTGGTTGGTCTACCTTTCCGGTGGATCCGTCTGAATTTGGAAGGGTTTCGTGGTCTCTTGATTTGATACGGGCCCTTATCACTGTTTTCTTCTCTTTGTCGGCAATCTGTCAGTGACTCCTATTGTGCATCGACGACATCCCTGCCAGTGCTTGTATAAACTCCTAGGTTTACAAAGGTTTGATTTGTGAAGGCAGAGGCCGAGAGGTGGAATCGAGTTATACTCACGGCGCGTCCTTGGTGGATGCTGGAGGAAGAAGACTTGGGCACCCCAAGGATATGAATGTAATGTTATTTTCTGTTTAAGTGTTTGTAAGGACCTGTGATGCTTAATATATGGGTTTAGACCGTTTCAATCAAGAAAGAAAAGAAATTGTCCATGCGTTTTAGACAAATATTTGTACAAGAGGGTTGTTGGCGAAAATATTCAATAGAGCACCTGCTCCCCGGCCTGTTTATCCCGAACGTCATGTATGTATGGATCTGTGCCAGCTGTTCCCGTAAGAATCTCACGGCAGGGTTACCTCGCAGTTGTTATCAGTAGTACGCGACCGTGATCGGCCTACCACCTACCGCAGGCCACTGTTCCAGCTGGGTCATGTGCTCAGGACAGATGCCCGTGACTCTGTTCCACCTCCCTCCTCCATTGTATAGTAGCTATCCACAGGCGAAGGCTTGGCGGCAGGGAGGCGGATTCATTTGAGATTTGACATGGAGAGGTCACGGGTCCGAGCGGAGGCGGGGAATCAGCCGCAGGTCCGGGCGACCCATGACTCGGCAATACCGCAGCTTGGATTCTTTTGAGATTAAGCATGGAGAAGAAACGGATCAGAGTGGCTGCAGTATCAGTTGCTGAGTAGGGAGGAGGAGGAGGAGGTGAATCAGCCGCTGTACAGATCTGCGCCCGAAGAACTGGACGCGCACCACCGCGTGTAATCTCCGGCGCCGGCGGGAGGCAGATAGCAAGAACCGAGTTCAAGTCCATCCTTCTTCGTCACCATGCAGGTACGGACTCATGGCTGTCTGAATGGGGATGCAAATGACATGGCCGTGTGCATGTAGGAAACTCCCGTCTCATGGCTGTATGAATGTGTTGTGCCATCAAAAAATGCAGATATACACGGCATTAAGTTTCCATCTTTTTGCACTCTGAATCCTTTGATACAAAATGCAGATATACGCTGCATTAAGTTCCGTTCTAATGGCAGTCTGAAAGTGTTTTTACAAACTGCAGATACAAACGGGGACAAAATACACTAAACAATTGGAGATGCGCGTTGCACAAAATGTGTTAGATTAATAATACATGAATTTGCCATCAGGTGTAGCTTAATAGATGGTGTTTGTCTGACCAAGTCACGGGCTTGCGTCCATATGCTTGGTGGGCATAAGCGAACAAAAGTGGACAGCCGGGTTGTTGGTGGTTGGATGTCAGGAGTTGGGGTAGGCACAGCGAGATAGTGAATATAATGGATGGCGCCTATATAAAGCTAGCCAGCCCACAACCCATCAGTATACTACACCCACCCACGGCAAGTCAATTGAAAAGCCCAGCAAATAAGCATAGGGAGAAGCTCAGCAATGGCCATCACCAACCTTGGGTTCGCTGCCATGCTGGTGATACTACTGCAAGTGTCCACGTTATGCGCCGTGGCACAGCACCACGGCGTGATGACGCTGAACGGGTTCGAGAAAGGCCAGGACGGCGGTGGGCCGTCGGAGTGCGACGGCAAGTACCACAGCAACAAGGAAATGATCGTGGCGCTGTCCACCCGCTGGTACGGCGGCGGCCGCCGGTGCCAGAAGATGATCCGCATCACCAGCGAGCACAACGGGCGCACCGCACAGGCAAAGGTGGTGGACGAGTGCGACTCCAGCAACGGATGCAAGGACAGCATCGTCGACGCCTCCGCCGCCGTGTGGAAGGCGCTCGGGCTCAACACCGACATCGGCGAGGCTCCCGTCACCTGGACCGACGCCTGAAACCATGCATCCATCCACCGTTAATAAAGCAGCGGCCGGCGACCGCAAAGACGACATGCAGTGCTCATCGGTGCAGTCATGTCGAGTACGTATATACGCATATATATGGCAGAATAAACTACCCGTATGGATAGCAGTGCGGGTTTATCGAGTATCTTGTAAGAGTCATGTGAGTCTCAATTTAACTAGTCGGTTTTTTCTGTTGTGCAATAACCCGACCTATTTGTACTACTCTTGTTGTATTACGGAAGAAATGCTAGCTCTTCAGTAGTCTTCACTAAATATCTCTATCTGACTTCATCTTTTGTCCTTGTGTATATGGGTGTGTTTGGTTTATGCCCAAGGTTGCCCCGCCAAAGCATTGACTAGCCAAAATGTTGGTTAAGGTTTTGGATGCCCATGATTTGGCCAACATTGACAAGAAGTATGAACTAGAGTTGGCTAAAGTTTCATTGGCATGCCAAAAAATTGGCAATCATCCAAACAAAGACCAATTTTTGGGTCATGACCAAAATTTTGATAGGGTACACTTTGGCCACAATCCAAACATACCCTACATTTCTTAGATCGTCCACTGGTGTAGAATCGTCATATGCGAAGGGTTAAAAACCCTTTTCCTGAAACAGTTTTGAACCATCGCACTGTGAAGGTATGCGATAGGAGGGTCCACCACACACGACACAGATTAATAGTCTGCGATAGCTCCCCTGATCACGCACCATAAGCACGAAAATTGACATGTATGATTGGGATTCGGGAGAGCTATCACAAACAATTAGGAGGAAGAAGTCGTATGAGATGTTCTGAACATCCCACACAATTTTCTTTTACAATTTTGTGTGTGTTAGTACTGCATGACACACACAGTGCTCACACAATGCGTCCCGAAAAATCATGTGAGATAGGGTGATCCATCACATACGCCTTTGCTGCTGAAAACGTCCATGGCCTGGCAGCATATCATTAACATTTTTCTAGGACGGCATCGTTAGTGGTGATTCATTGATCCCACATGCTCATTTTGTAGCAATTGTGTGATGCTAGTGGTCATCGCTCACGGTACTTAATATGTAACCGTGTGCAATGCAATGACCCAATTAACAGGTTTATTAGCCTATTGTTATTAATCCTTCTAATAGGCAAATGCACATTTTATATTGAACAAATGATCACCATGATTTCCTATCGGACACACGATATATTTCATATCCACTTTTATAATTGACATCACGGTACATTATATAACTAGCATATCCATCGCATCTTAATTGAGTTTTGGGAGTGGGATTGGGATGAGGGGTCAAACACGCATACATCAACCGTTGATGAGTGTTTTTGGGGCCGTCCCAATAAGGGAATCGTCTGGGGCCGGAGCGCCGGCGGAACCTTGGGCCGGTCGCTCCGCACGCGTTCGATCGCTTTTGCTCTATGGCTAGGATCAGATGCAAATCTATCACCTTTTTTCACTAACGTGGTCCCAGGGTGAAGCCCCTGGCCGAGTCGTAAGTATTGAAAGATACCATACACATACCCGACCTTCTGCGGATTGTAGGATTACATATTATTTATGCATTTCAGTCCGGCCCACGTTCTCCCCCAACAATCATCATCGGAGGGGAATTCTCTGGGTCCGGGGATGATGGAGACCGAGACGCCTCCGCGAGCTTCCCCGCCAACTGCCATGGACGACACCGAGGTGCTGTCCCGAAGGGCCTCTCCGGGCCACGGAGAGGTGCGGGAGGCCGAAAAGACGGCGCCAGAGGGCAATACCCCGGTTGCCGATCTTCCTAACAACGAAAGTGGTCCTAGGGTTCTTCTCGCGTCAAGACGATGTTCTGCTTGATGCATGTCCTCATTGATTTGGCCAATGACATGTTCCTGAAGCCTCTGCCGACGATCTCCATTAGGTGCGTGATGCCTGTATATTGCTGGATTGGATGGGATTAGGTCATGTGAACCCGTTTTTTGGCCATGCGGCTCTAATAGGGAGTGACACGAAGCTTCGCTGTCTATTGCCATCATGGGACATGTCAGTGTTTCGATTTCCATGGTGAAGATAGTGGCTGAGAATGTCATGGTGGCTGAGGTCTGAGGTCTAGTAACGGTGGACTGAGTCTTCGAGGCGATGCGGACTTTGCTTGGTCCTGACTTATAGCAGCAACATGAGCAAGCAGAGGCGGCAACACAGGATAGATAGTCTTATCTTTTCAGGGTGAATATCCAAGGTCTGGCCTTAAGTGGTTCTGCTTGGCAATGACCTTGTTTTGTAAAACCTGAGTGCTATGATGTGGCGGTGACGGCGGTTGTGCACTGTTTTTTTTTTAAAGGCGTCGCTTTTGGAGAATTTGAACACTGGGTGCTGCCTTCATAGTGATTTGTGTTGCAGCTACAAGGTTTGGATCATCATAGCGGGATATCTTTTTTCTTCTTCCTTTTTTTGTAGGGCTATGTGCATCCATAATATCTATAAGACATTTCATTATTGCAAAGACTGTGTGATATAATGTGTATATTATATTTCTACTATAATATGAGTCAAATAAGATATGGATCAAAGAAAAACTACTTCTTCTGGATCCTAAATTAATAAAATAAAGAAGTGAATTTTCAAATTTTTAAATAAGGAAAAATCATGTATACATCTAAACAACCTTTTGTTCTTAAATCTAAAATCAAGAAAACAACAGTAGCAGCTGCAACTGGAGCTGAATATGCAACAGCAATCCAAGGATACATACCCAGACGGAAATCACTCACGACCCATATAACAAGCAACACCAAGTAGGAAGTTTGTCGACCAAAATCAAATCAAATCAAATTTCATTGAAAGCTCAACAAATCAAAACTGTCCCTGCCTCCCCCTATTCATATTTCATATTCAAATAAAATCAAATCTTATCAAACCTCAGCTAAAGCAAAATTTTCATTGTCTTTTCCTATGTAGAATAAAATCAAACCTTACCAAAATCTACAAATAGATATAGTGGGTGTACTGACACGATTGATATGGAAACACTAAAATTATTATGGAGTATGACCGGTTGCAACACACACAGGCAACTAGGTAGGTGTATCTGCTATCTAGTTAGTTATGCCGTCGTTGTGCTTGTCGTTTGTTTTGCTTCTCCTTGCTTTGATGAATTCCATAAGCACACGCAGCGCAACGTCGACGTCCTCGCTCCGCAGCAGCATCTCGGACACCTCCGCCGGCGTAACCTCCACGGCCGCAAGAAGTTCTTGAATCTCCGGGAAGAGAGCGTGGTCGTCGAGGAGGTGGTAGTTCCGGGCCAGCGTCCTGAAGGCCTCCCAGCCACAGTGTCCCATGTAGACGTGCATGTCCATGCGGCCCGGCCGTAGCAGCGCCCGGTCGAGGCGGTCCTTGTAGTTGGTGGTGAAGACGATGACGCGCTCCTCGCCGGTGGTTGACCACAAGCCGTCGATGACGTTGAGCAGGCCCGACAGTGTCATCTTGTGGCGCTCACGCCCCTGGAAGTAACCTCTTGCTCCGACGTCTTCTTCGTACTCGTCGCCGTCCTCGTCGGTGTCGGTGTCGGCCATCTGGTGGCGTAGCTTGCCGTCTTTCTCCCTGGACATGGTGTCGAAGCTGCAGTCAATGTCCTCGATGACGAGGATGGACTTGTTGGGCATGTCCATGAGCAGCCTCTGCAGGCACGAGTTGTCGTACACCGAGGAGAGATCAAGGTCGTAGAGGTTGAACCGGAGGTAGTTGGCCATGGCGGCCACCAGGCTGGACTTGCCGGTTCCGGGCGGGCCGTAGAGAAGGTATCCGCGCTTCCACGCCTTGCCGATCCGCCGGTAGTACTCCTTGCGCTTCAGGAAGCGGTCGAGGTCGTCCATGACGGACTGCTTCATGGCCGGGTCCATGGCGAGCGTGTCGAACGTGGCCGGGTGGTGGTGGTTGATGCCTCTCCAACTCGAACTCTCGTTGAGAAAGATCTTGAGCGCGCGGTCTCGCAGCCGCAGATCCTCCGCCGCGGACATGATGAAGGGCACGTACTTGTGGAGCACGGTCTCCGTGTGCTCTGCGTCGAAGCTGAGCTCGAGGGACTCGTGCGCCCTACTCTTGCCGTCGTCGCCGCCGCTCTCGATGGACGTCCACCGGAACTCAACGCCCTGGAAGGTGTCGGTGGTGGAGCCCCCGTTCTCCATGCTCAGGAGCGTGCTCCAGCTGGCGCTCCCGCCGGGCTCCTTCATGCGGGTGCGCGCGAGGCACAGCCGGCTCATGCTCTGCGGGTTGATCTTGGTGGCCAGGTACGTGAGCGCCGCGTCGAACAGGTCGTTCTCGTTGTACCCGCCGCCGAGGCCGAGGCCGCCGAGCACGCGCCGGATGACAATGGTGTGACGCTGCTTCTCGGGGGCGCTGTAGCGGGAGCGCACGAACGCCGCGGCCCAGCGCACGGCGGCGCGCAGCTCGTCGGGGAGGAGCTCCCGCGCCATGCCGCGCGCCAGCATGGCGTACGCGCTCACCGTGGCCGCCGTGGCGAGCGCCTTCTTGTACGCGTCCACCACCGCTGCCCCCTCCGGCGACGATGCCATCGTGCTTGTCTTTGGCAAGAAATCCATGGCTATATACTTTCGATCGAGTTGCGCCGCGTTGTGTTGCCAGCGTACGTCCTCCCGTTTGATTATTTATATATATTAGTATTGCAGAAGAAGAAGAAGAATCAACTTCTAACGGATTGATATATTCTACCCGGACTCTACAGATCACAACGGTTCTACTCGAATACGATCCGGATTTTTTTTTCCATGGCAATACGAGTGTCTCGTTTATTTATATCATAAAGATTAAAGTACAAGTCACGACAAAACTGAAAAGATAATAGAACATCTCTGAGTTTGACACCAACGTTCATCATCTGCCTCCGACACCACACCAGCAGCCACCAAAGAAAAAAATGACGAATCACCTCCTCTTCCGAGCTCGCCGCGGCTCCATCGCTTATATGCAGCTTTGCGGACCTCTAAGGTGGCCCATC